TCCCCCCCTCCGCTTTTACTAATGACTTACACCCATTCTTGATCTTTCATATGTGGCTAAGGGTTTCTTTTGCTCGTGATTTTTTACAACTCATTTTTCTGACTATTCTTGCTGGGTTTTCTCATCTTGTTTATTTTTCTTGCGAGTTTATTTAAATTTGTCGCAAGTCATACTACGCTCACAATATTAATACACAACAGTAACAGATGCCCAGATGTGCTTTTACAGTTTATCTACGACATTTTGCTTTACTGCATTTTACCTTTCAAATACCTTTTATTTAACTGCAACTTGATCATTTTGCATGCAAAACCAGAACTGAGACCAAAACTGAAACAAAACAAAACCGAACATTGACACCGAAACCGTGAAACATAAATTACCCATCTCAAACACTTAAACTCTGGAGTCATCGCTACAACAGGAGCTTGGAGCCAACTTTGTGGGCAGCACGACGAGGAGCTTGGATCGAAGGACAAGAGGATCTTCTTCAGCATTATCTCTTCCTAGCATAATAACAACCCATAGGACTTCGAGGTAGTTTTCCCAACGCGACGTAAATCCTCACATCTTCTTTAGGCTCCTGTACAACCATGTTGTGCAGCGCAAGTCCTAACTCGCCTTAGGTTCCGAGGTTTTCGTGTGACACGGCGTAAACTCTCTTATCTCTGCGGGCTATTTGCATAATCGAGTATTATGCAAATGTAAGTCCCAAATAATAAAATTGACAGGATTGAATAATTGAATAACATCATCTCTAAAAATGCAGCCACACAGTATGATAGTCTGGAAAGTCACTAAAGTTTCTCCTTATGATCTATGACATCCCCTACATGTTCCTTCCTTTGGACTCCTGAAATAACTGTTCATATTTGAGCCACTCTTATTTGTCTTTCCACGTCATATCGTGAAAACCTAAACTTTGAAATATTGAATACTAGCACCTCTTATCATTATCGAGACATTTGGGATGTAATTAACTATAGGGGCTTGCCTCTATAGGGAACTTGAAACCCAGTTAAAATAAACCCTATTTAATCTTTGTATTAGATAGGGGAACTTGTTGGTCACATATAAACGGTTCGCAGACTAAATGAATATCACAAATCTCTTAGTTTGTATGATTGGGTCTATTGCCGAGGTCTACACTTATCTTTCGGAAATGTGTAGTATTCGCGGTATCGGGCACGATTATGCAAACTATTGGACGAATGAGATCTATTTGGTCTCATTTTTCGAAAATTAAAATATACTACTTTCAAAACCCAAACTATATATCTATTATATTAAATAAAATTTCAAAAATTATTTTCATATTTTTCAAACCTTAAAAAAAGTTGACCGACAACACCTTGCCTCTATTATGGTGGTGGCATTTATAAAGGTGATGTGTTTTTTCTATCATGTTCTTATTTCAGTTAGCGTGATGGTTCTAATATATTCCGCTATATTAATTATGCAGCTTATATCTGATCATCCCTTTGGGGATTTATATACATAACCCGAAAACTATCTGATTTTCATATTTAAAACCTCAACATCTTATTTACCTTTACGCTAGCCAAAACTTGTTAACAACCATAATCTATCACTCCGTAACATCATATCCATACCGCCGTAGCTAAGGACCGGAGATAGGTGCTTTCCATTATCTTCACCATACATGAGAGCTCTTGTGTTCTCCCATGCAAAGTTCTTCCTCGCTTTCTGTAGCTCTCGCTTTCTCCCTCGATCCTCCATGAGCTCCCAGTGTGCTGAAATCTGATCAATAATGTTCCTTTTAAACCTAGAGATTGCTTTAAAAAGACAAGGAAACAGACAAGATACATGATATGCTTAATCAATTTTGTTTGCCACTTATGAGAGAAATGGAGTCCTTTAGCTGAACAGTTTGACTGCCTTTGTCGCTTGCAAGCTTAGGTAGACAGGGAAGGAAGATTGGAGAGTTCCTTTATTTCTTCTTCTTCTATCATTATATTATTTCAGTAAAAACCCTACAACCTAAGTTTTCTTACTTATTTTTGGTTATATATTCTTGTTTATTTATTTTGCCAAAAGCATTATGACTTCTGTAGAAATTATTAGCTAATCAGTTCCTGTGGCTTAAGTGTGTGATGCTGGTGGTGCTTACGGGAGTGTAATTCATGATCCTTAACTTTATTGGTGAATGCATAATATGTGTTGTTAGCTTCATAGTTGTGATTGGTTTTTCGCATTCATTTTTTTATTTTATAGTTGTATATCTTTTATTAACCGATATACAGAACACAAGCTTATGTTCATCCTTAAATTTAGGTCAGTTACCAACTAATAATAGGATAGATTAGATAATAAAATTTTCTAATTACTTCAACTATGGCCATTCATAAACATAAAAAGTCAATGCTCTGAGATTTCTTAAACAAATATAAAAAATGAAAATGAAATAATTCAATCACAATTATAATTAACATATCGCATACTCATATCATTTACATTTAAGGTTTTTAATATACCACACAAAAATCTCCAAGTTTGATAAAGAAAAACCTTGATTCTAATTTCTTATCAACAATTACAATGCATAATCACTACCAATAGCTAGGGCTTTAAGTGAACCAATGCATTTGATGAATAACTCGAACTCGGTTCGATTAAGACTCGATCATATTTGCTTAAATTAGTACATAAACAAGCTTGAATAATTTTTAAAAACTCGAAGCTTAAATTAACTAAACATGAACATAGTCAAATTTGTTCACTTATGTTCATGAACAAACTCGTTTGTTATTCAAGAACTGGTTATATAATTGATATTAAACTTGATGATAGCTCGTATCATATATGATATATTAGTTAAATAAAATTTAATCAACGAGAATTTATTTAATTTTATATTTAATAGAAATATATAATAATAATAATAAATAATAATAATATTGTTAAATTAATTATTAATTAGAGATTTATATTATTATTTTTTTGGTGTTAGATGTGAAATTACATAAGACTTATGTGTTATGTATGAAATGCCCCTTAAAATTAATTGTAAACCCCCGTAAACTTCACTCTCTCTTTGGCTACTCGTAGTTTCTCCTCTTCTGGTTTCGCCCGAAACATACGAAGCCCTAAGTCGCTAGGACGTGCAAGTAACAAAGGCAACAATGAGATTGTGGCGTGCAAGTATTTTTGAACTCTAATCTCTGACATATCTCACCTTCCTACTCCACTCCAAAGTTCTACTTAATTAAACTCACATATCTCATCCATTCTCGCATCCCACTTCACGCTTTTCAACTTCCTTAAATCCTATAAATCCTTCTTCAAGTTTCATTTACTATATCCAAGATTTAAGATAAAAAAGAGGAGAAAGGTTATTTAAGATCTTGTATGGTTTAAAGGTTGCCATTTTTGTTGTTTGGACAATATCTAGGATAAGGCAAAATGGAGGAGAAATGGGATTTAAGATCTTTTAGGGCTTCATTTTGTCATTTTTGTTGATTTGTAGGATTTAGGTTAAATTATTTATTAATTTTTTATATGAAAATATAAATGCTCATTTAAATTTTTAGCTCGTTTATTAGCTCGATTGAATACTTGCTCACTTGTCATAAACAAATCAAGTTTAACTTTTGAAAAATGTAAACAAGTCGAGCTTGAACAATATATAAAAGCTCGACACAAGTTCAAGTCGAACATGAACGACTTGTAATCATACCAAGCCAAGTTCGAACAATGATATACTCGGCTCGATTACAACCCTACCAATAGTTTAATTGTTCTCATCTCTTAACACCATTTGTCTTATGCAAAGAAAGCATCAAATGGTGGTTGATAATTAATTCATTCTTAATGGAGTTATTTTATGTTTGTATTGCCCACAAATCTTTAGTTACTAGTCTATTTTTTGGTGCATGAATTATCAAGTTTTAAATTTGGGATTATAACTCAATTAACTGTCGAGGGGTGATCTAAATCAAAAAATTTTTTTAGATGCAAATTATTATATCTGGTATTCACTTGCTATTAAGGAGAAAAGCGTGATCGAAGATTTTATAGATTCCCAATAAATTGAACAGAAGATGATTGAAACTACTTTAAATGGGTCGATGAAGTAGAGGATTTCACGTTCAGTATGAATTATATTGGAAGAGCTGCTTTTGATGAGATAACAGGACAAGATGCTGATGATTATCAAGCCACAAAATTTCAAGTAAAAGTTGTGATTACTATTCTAATAGCAATTATAGTGAAGATTTTTTTTTTAAAGTTAGACATGTTTTAATTTTGTAGGTGAAAATTTTTTTCACGTAGTTTGAAGGTGAAACTGCATTTAACCCTGTTTAAAGTTTAGGGGTGTTTGTTTTGATGTATTGTGTTAATATTTTTTTGGTTTACATTTCCAACTTTACTGTTAATTTACTTTATTTGTTATTTAAAGTTGGATATCTACCTTGTATTTACAGGAGCACTTGTGCACATGCTTTTGGCCAAAAAATGGAGCATTTTGATAGAGATGACGTTATATGTATGCCAAATTTACTCAAGTATGTATGTTCCGGATTGCATAATTCCACAAATGAAAAAAAATTAAAAAATTAACTGTTAGAACACAGTTTGGAATGGATTGCACTAGAGAAATTTATAATAACAATCTGGTTCCAAGCGTTCCTGGTGATATTGCTATTAAATATTAGGCTTTGATTTCTGGATTTGACCACTCTTCGCTTTCTTGTTTAAATGAAACCTTTAATTTATTCTGAGGATCTTCTTACAAGTTGAGGAGACAGAACAAGACAAACCTTACTGCTCTTTGATAGATTGTCTAGAAAAAGAGAGCAAGAAATGGGCTCCTTTCCTTTAATTCGAAATAAATAATTTAGCTTTTCCTTGCCAAAACGTTATGAACTTTTTCTCTTTATGGCACCCAATTCTTTCCTTCTACTGCATTTGATTCTGGATTTCCATCTAAAGCATTTGTTGGGTCCAACTATACTTAAAGTTTCCCAATGTGTTCTGCATTGTAATAATCCAATGTCAGTTGTCCCCAGGATGAAACAATAATGATTCATTTAAATTACATCAAAACTTAGGAGCTGTCCTTTTTTGAAATCTTTTTGAACTTGCATGGCCATTCATCGATCTGAACTTCATGAAGTACGGGGCAAGATTGACTGACTAAACAATTGCAGCAGTAGAAACTTAATATATAAACATTATAATTATACTGATTTATAAAAAGAAAAGGAAATATATACTGCTTACGATAATTTGACATGATTTTGTACCTTTACAGTGCAGCTGTTAATGTGATATTGTCATTGTTTGATAGAACACCAAAGAGAAATCAATATTCAACTTATTAATTATGCCAAAAGTGGGACAGCCATCTACTATTCTATGAAATCTGATGTAAATAGATTCACACATTCACATGAAATGCTGATGAACTACTATACAAAGGAATTAATGCTGAAAGCAAACTAAGCATGCATTGCAAACTAAAATAATTGTGAATACTATAGCAGGTGCTGTCTTCCATTCCCTTCCTTGCTGAATTATGCATTCCAAGCTCTTTCAATTCCCGAAAATCATAGCACATTTAGTTGACAGATCAACTAATTAAGCTTTATTATTATGATTAGCCTAATCTAAAGTCTTGATATTTGCTTTTAAGATCCTCCTCCATCCATTCCTGGTTAGTGTTTGATGGAAGATGAACAATTGACTGAATAATTGGGAAAGGAAGTAGAGGAAGAGAGAGAGAGAGAGAGAGATGAGGTTTGAAAGGGGAAAAATTTCTTACATTATTAATTTTGAATCCTCGGGGCATTTAAAATTGACAGGACCTCATTTAAAGCCAAGATACTCCATTCAATAATTAAGTATGAAATTCATCAAATCCAAGAAGCCCTTGAACAAAATGATTGAGGGATACAAGTATTAGTATGTCCATCATGAGCAAATTAATGGAACACTCAAACCAAAGAGTATAATGTTCTTTCAATTTCCAAAATATTGGTTGCAGTATTTTAAGTTCTTTCAATTCAACTAAAGGTTTGCAAGTGTTTGACATCCTCCATTCGCCTCCTTTTGCTGACTTGGTTCTTGAAACTCTTTGCTTCATTAGAACGTATATCAATTGAAAAGATGTTATCATCTCTAGACCGACCGATCAATAAACCATTATTAAAACTGACATAATCGTCATAGTCATCTTAAATTATCGCAACAATCTTGGCTCGATCACTTTCACTTGATTGGTTAATCATGCCTCGCAATAACATCCATTGCAAGAAAATTGTAATTTTCTTAAGATGTTCATATATATACGAGTAAAACTCAAGAACATGCCTTCTAAGCACAAACAAATGCTCTTGATCTTCTGTATAAAAAAAAAGTTCTTCGAGCTTTATTGATCTTTATATATCACCACGACACCATCATATCTCTTTCTCTTATGATTCTTAGCTTTGACTCAAATTTTTCAAAATTTTAAATGTGATCATAATATAAATTGTTCAACTTGTTCACATAATAAGGCTAAAACCTAAATATAATTCATAAGTTACAGCATGTTAGCATAAGCATTTGCAGTCCAAGCAAAAATTATAGAAACACAAACCAAGCAAGAATAGCACGAAAATGGCAACCAAGAGCAACCAAACAGTAGCTGCTGAATAAGAATTTATGTGAACATGATTTCATTTCTTAGAGACAGATGGGAAGAAATAGAGTATCAGCACATCAACATTATAGCACCAATGCAGAACACCAAACACAACAGACTCAGTACTTATTTATATCAGAATCAACTAATCAAGACAACAAACAAATCATTAGATTTTCAGACTGCTAGAATGATTTGCTGCAATACAAATTGTGTACATGAAAATAAGTTATTTAACCTAATTATTATATTTCAATTTGGAATGATTTTAGCCTTTGCATAATTAGTATATTTAAATACAAACTAGCATGCATGAACCTTATTTAACCTAATTTATATTCTAATAAAAAATTAGTTATCATGCACTTTAGATTTAAAATTTTTAAATTTGTTTATCTATTTAATTCGTTAATAGGTAAACAATTAATACTAAAAAAATCCCTAAAATTAAGAAAAAAATAATAATAATCTGAATTTTAAAATCTTATTGTCAACCACACTTCGATAATTTTCTAGGACTTCTGTGATCGCACGTATAATGTTGTGCTAGTACAACGTGATTCCCATTATAAAAATAAATATATTATATACTTAAAAAAAAATTGTGGAAAAATCATGCACACAAAAATTTAATGAAATGGATTAATAAATTTTTAAAATAAAAATGAATGATATTATTCTTTCATGTATAGTTGATTCATCACTGCACAAACACACACTCATACTACCAAGTTGAGCATAAATAAGATCTTATTTTAGCTTAGCTTGTTAAATAAAATAGAGATTTACATATTTACTTCACAATTTCTATATATTTGTGTATCTAACATCTAAAATTTTATTTTTATATTTATAACGCTCAATTTTTTTGTCATTGTTGAATCCAAATTTGTCTTCAAGCCAACTTCAAAGAATACAACACACATGAATAAGGATTTCTTGAGAAAAGACAAAGAATAGAATTGACTAACATGAATAAGGATTTCTTGAGAAAAGACAAAGAATTGACTCGGCCTTTGATGGAGGAATGAAAATAAGATAATCTCACTTTTTTTTTTGTTTTCTGTACAATACTTCCTATTTATAGAAGCAAGCCCCATCCTTAAAAGATATGTCTTATCATTTAAAGAAAGAATCCTGCTAAAAGTCCTGAGCAGGACCCGTACAATTTCAGTTTAGTCGCTCTTTTTTTAACAGTAACGCTCAAAAGGACAACACCTTTGTGCAGTATCATGCCCTCTTCGTCCTTTTTCTCAATTTTGATCCTAGTAGATGCTTGGTCCATCCGTTCCAAACTATTGTAAATACCTCCTCTTTTAAGCTTCCTTTCATCTTCTCGAACCAAATTATTGTCAAATGACATTTCCTGTATAGGAGTTCATTTAAAATATGTTTTCAGAAATGACCAAGGCAGTTAAATCCATTATTAAATAGGTTGTAATTTAAAATCAAACTTTAAAATATAATAATAATAATAATAATAATAATAATGATAATAATAATATCATTAAATTAGAATAATGTTTATTTGTTTTTCTTATAATATGATGTAGGTGGTAATTGACTTCAAGGCGCCCAACTCTTATAAAGGTTTGATGTAAAAAGCTATAAGATCAGATTATAATTTTTATTTGAGGGAAGAATTTAAACTTAATAATTGGAGGAGAATATTTATATAAAATTAAGACTATTGAATCACATATTTATTCGCTAATCATTCTAAAAAAAAGAGATTTTTTTCCTAATAAACTTGTGATGTCTTGTCGTTTTATGTTGCATGTAAAGTTTTTTTGTCCTTTTATAAAAAGATCTCCACCTAATCTTTCATATATATATATATATAATATATATATGTATGTATATATATTGAAAGAAGTTGTCTTTATTAAAGATATGAAACATTTCTAAACATTATAAAGATGGGGGATTTACATACATACCTCCCAAGCCTTATGTATTTACATTAACAACTACACTTAATTTTTACTCATCCAAATCTTTCATGTTACTTAAAAATACCATCATTTTAAGCTTTAAGAGGTGAAATATGTCCAAGTAAAATGGTATGTGGTAAAAATTAAAATTTAGGTTTCAAATATATGTAAATACATAGAAAATGAGCGATGTGTATGTAAATCTTCCTATATAGATTTCCTTAGATTTTCTTACCTAAAAGGTTGGAAGTCAAAAGCTTATTTGCACGGTTGTTTGTTTGTTTTCAGATTCTTAATTTGTTTTCAAGTAGAAGTATTATTTGTAAATTGGAGTGGTTGAACATTTAAAAGTTTATCAATAATGCGTCAATAAAAATATGATAAGATTGATTTGTAATGTACGTACGAATAAATTTAAGTGTACGAATAAATTTAAGTGTCATGCCATTCGTCAATTCCTTCTATTTAATGATAATAATACTAATAATAATAATGATAATAATAATAATAATAATAATAATGATAGTGATGGTGATGATGATGATGATCTCAGAATTCATTCAATCAAATATAAATTTTAATATAAATGTATAAATAATAACATTTAATATCAACTTTGAGTTCATGCAAATTTTATTTTCTATAAATTTATAATTAAAGTAAATATTTCATTGATACAAATTCAATGACACTAAGTGTTAGGTAGGGCTCATATATCATAAATGTGACAGATGCTGAAGCAGAGCGGAGCCCACGAGCGGAGTGGAGCGGAAGTATCTGTTTAATCAGGGGA